TCTTTGTTTATGTGCTTTTAAAAGCAGGAATCATCAGCAAATTGCTTTTATTGTTGATTTTTATTGCTGAATAATTTTCTGTTGTGTGCCTTACATTAGGATTCTCCAGAGAAACAGAACAAATAGGATGTGTGTATGGATACAAAGATTTATTATAAAGAATTAGATCATGCATATGTGGAGATGGGCAAATCCATATATGCAGTATGGACTGGCAGACTTAAGACCAGAAGAGCTGATAGTGCAGTTCCAGCTGAAAGGTTGGCCGGTGGGATTCCCTCAGTGGATTTTTTTTTTTCTGTTCAGGCCTTCATTTGATTGGATGAGGCCTACCCACTCTGGGCAGTCTGTAGCCTACTGATTAAAATGTTAATCTCATTTAAAAACAAAACCAAAAAAACCTCTACGGAAACATTCAGAATGTTTGACCAAATATCTAGGCATCCTAAGGCTGAGTCAAGTCGACACAAAATTAAACACAAGTAGGGGGCCAGGGATTTAGCTCAGCGGTTCCACCACCTGCCTTTCAAGCACAAGGTTCTGAATTTGATCCCCGGTACAAAAATAAATAAATATACAAACACAAGCACAGACCACAACCTACCATTCTTTTGTCATCAGATTCTGAATTTCTAAGTGTTCTGACTATTGTGAGTAACCTGACTGTGAGCATTCTTTCTGTGGGTCTCCTGGTACAGGGTTGCACTAGTGTTTTTCTAAAGTTTGTACTTAGAGCGACCGGCTGGCAGGACAGTACATGCAGCACGCTGGGGATCTAGTGGAATATGGTTGGTCTGCAGTACTAGCAGGTGGGCTTGCTGACACTCCCTGACAGCGCTGTAGGTGCTGGCACAGGCTACTTGAAGACCTGCTGGGTCTGCAGAGCAGACACCCTTGCTTCTCATGACTGCCTGCTTGGTTTGTGGTGGAGAGGGAAAGAAGATGCCTAATTCTCATCGCATCTTACTGTTTGGTGGATGATTGTCCAGACAGGGAGCATGTATTTCGTGGCTGCTTCTGGCCCCCACTGGAAGAGCATACCACACTATATTGTTTTCCTGTGAGGAGGAATTAGGGCATAGACAGGAGCACGGAGGGAAAATCTCTTCTCACGGAAACAGTGGGAAGGGAGCAGGCATCCTTCCCTACTGTCCAGAAGTGGATGGGATGTAAAGAAAAATCAAATCCAGGTAACAGGTGTATCAGGCATTGCGCCTGCCATCTGTTGTTCATGGGACAGCTCTGTGGGTGGTGATAAAGGTGCTGGTCCCTTGGTGGAGTCTGCTTCTTCTTATTCATTGTACCTTGTCAGTGTGGGCCAGATGGAAGTAGACTGGATGTAGGATTTGGAGGAATGGAGACTTAGGTTTTGGAACCTGGCCCTAGACCACTTAATCCTCCTGGCAACCTATTGGATCAGAGGTGCTGGTCTCATTGTAACAATTGAAGAAATTGAGGCCAAGAGGTAAATTGACTTGGGGACTCCATAGCCAGTGGCTATGGGCTGGGGTTTGTATGAAGGTACGAGTCAAGGCTATACTCTATCAGATACTTGCATTTGCACCTGAGCCCCGTGTGCCTTAGAGGTGAGGCTGCCATTTTTCTCAAGGGCTTTCTCCTTTCTGCATGTGTTGTACCCGTAGGTACTGAAACCTTATGTGAGGTGCCAAGGAAACAAGAGCAGTGAGGCATGATGAAGATGGTACTTGGGGACAGACCCAGGCCTGAGACTGGAGTAGGACAGGCCTGCATCCATGGCAGCTTAGGAGGGGGTGACTCTGGGGAAGGGGCCACGCCTGGCACTTATGGCTACGCTATGCTTGCCTAGCCTAGGTGGAGGACAGGCACATAGCCCACAAGCTTTACAAGTCTAGTATACAGATTTCAGAGTGCATTTGGAGTTTCCACTTAAACAGATCATTTTAAAAATGAATGGAGCCGGGTGTGGTGGCGCACGCCTGTAATCCCAGCACTTGGGAGGGTGAGGCAGGAGGATCACTGTGAGTTTGAGACCAGCCTGGGCTACATAGTGAGTTCCAGGTCAGTCTCAACTACACAGTGAGACCCTGTCTCAAAAAACCAAACCAAACCAAACCAAACCAAAATGAATGGGAAAAGCATTTGTACTTTTTCTCATGCGAAGTGGAAGGATAAAGCTTTGGCAGAGAGGTATTTGCTACCGACCGTAGGGCAGCTAACACGGGATTTCACGAGGAGATACAGGTTCTCTGAAAGGTGGGAGCAGGTTCGGCGATGACAGTCAGACAAAAGCACTCAACACCGAGGTGAAGTTTGCCAATGCTGCTGCAATTTTATTTCTAACTCCAGGTGTTTATATACTAGTTTCAAGGGCACACCACAAGAGTGATTCCAGTCACAGGCAGGCATGAGAAAGATAGACAATAGTACTGTAAAAACTAAGACCACAAGGTCAAGTTAAGACCACACCTATATACCATCACAAAAGCTAAGACCATTAAGTCAAGGTAAGACCACACCTATACGCAGTCAGAAGGGGAACTTTGTAAAACAAAGGACTGCCTTCAGCATGTCACCTTCAGGTTCACCTTCAGGACTTCACAGTCCGGGGCTCAGGGTCAGCACTTTGGCCGCCCGTCCTCTTGTGCCTCAATATCTCCCCATCTCTAGGAACATCTGATTGTTCCTAACCTTTCCTGGGCCCAGAATACAATTCTACAGATAATGAACAAATAGTAATAAAGACAAAATAGAACAGAATTATAGATGAACCCAATGTCCCCAAACTGCAGGCAGAGAGGCCAGCTATTCTCTTCACGGCTGACTTTGCATGCGGTGTGTGCCAAGGACCTCCAGGAGGCTTAACCCCGTGGGGACGATACCTCTGGTCTGGTTTCTGCCAGGTGACCGGCATTGTCACACAGACTCTACTGGAGTGGTCGTGGCAGGTATTGATCAATGACTCTTGTACGGATTCTTGGTTGTGTAATTTGGAGTACAAGGTAAGTCCTGACCTGCATTTTGCAAGACACTCATGGATTACTGGGTAAGTAGAAATAATGAAGTTGCTCAGGAAAGCTTGCCTTGATGAAGAGGAAACATATGTCATTTGGAAACTTGCCCTGGAGAATAAATACCAACTTATTTAGATTGCCTTCTGTTATTTTGTGTTGTTGTTAAAGGTTGTCTTAAAAACATCGCCACTGGTTTTCTCACTTTATCTTTCAGAGGTTTTGTTGCAGGGCATTTGGACTGAAATATTTCACTCTATTCTTCTTTGTGCTGTTTCCTGCCAGGCATGTTTGTTGCAGTATGGGGAGACATCAGCTGCTGTGTCACAGGTGCCTGCCTCCATCTTGACCCCAGCTACTGAAGTTGTGTTAAATCCAGCTCACAATGGATTTGTTCCTCACAGCTATTCATCATTTGAAAATCCAGGAGTGTGTTTTGAGTTTCAGAATTTTGTCCTTTTTTATTTATTTATTTGGTACTGGGGATCGAACTCGGGTCCTTGCGCTTGCGAGGCAGGCCACCGAACCGCTGAGCTAAATCCCTGGCCCTGCCCTTTTTTAAATGTAGGAAGATTCTGTTATGAAGAAGCACATACAAAGCTATGTGAAGGTGTGATGATGCCGAGACAGCTCATAGTTGGAGTAGTTCCGAGTGTGGATAGGAATCCACTTCTCCTGCTCCTAGCCTGTCCATTGTGCAGATCTGACTTCAGGTTTCTTAGCTGAGTGTTCATCTTTTCCCCTAGATACCTCAAAAAATACTTTGCTGGATACCAGATGGTGGTCTGTGGTGCTTCTTTTCATTGTTAGAAGCTTAGCACTAACCTGCAGACTCTCAGAAGCTGCTGAGTGACTGAAGTGATGCTTGGGGTGAGCTGAAGCAGAGAAGGGCCTGGAGGTGCTGAGGCCACCAAGGAGGGCGGGGCAGGTCAGGGTGGTGCAGGAATTGGGCTTGTTGCCAACCAGCACGGTGGGGTTGGAGCAGACGGACCCTGCAGGGGCAACCTCGTGGTTTTGTCACTTCTTGCTCTACTACTGCTGTCCCACTAGACTGCAGTGTTGATCATCTTATGTGACCTTCAGTTTACAGAGGCACTGACTTCATTTCCAAGTTCTTGCTTTGAGATTTTTTTGTTTGTTTTTTTTTTTGATACAGGGTCTCACTATGTAGTTGAGACTGACCTGGAACTCACTATGTAGCCCAGGCTGGTCTCAAACTCACAGTGATCCTCCTGCCTCAGCCTCCCAAGTGCTGGGATCATAGGTGTGCGCCACCACGCCCGGCTCTTTGAGATTTTTAATAGATTATTTCCTTATGTGGGCTTCTTCCTTAGCTAAATTTTAAAACAAACTCCAAATAGTCACTGACTCCTCTTTCTGAATGATAGAATGAATATTATTTAGTCAGTTTACAAGTTTATATTATTTCTGTAATAAACTTAAACAAATTTTTTTAAGAATAGGAAAATTTATTGGGGAATAGGAATCCTGAATGGATTGCCTGTAATAAATATTTATTTTGAAAAATGTTTACATAAAAGTTGAAAAAAGGTATAGAAGGTTCCCATATTCACCCAGTTTCCCCCATTGTTGACATTTTATATAACCATAGCACACTTATCAAAATTAATAAATTAGCATGGTTATATCATTAAAGCACAGGCTTCATCCAGACTTCATCAGCCTTTTCACTGATGGCCTGTTTCAGGTCCGTGATCCCATCCAGATGCCCATGTCATGTTTATTTGTCATGTTCCTTAGTCCTTATGACAGTTTCACACACTTTCCTTGTTTTTCACGACCCTGGTAGTTTTGAAGTATGCTGGGTGGGTATTGTGTGGAATGTTTCTCAGGTTGAGTCTGCTAAGTGTTTTCCTGTTATTAGATTGAGCTTATGGTTTGGTGGAAGAAACCCGTAGGGTGGGCAGTGCCCTTTTATCCCATGATGTCCAGGGGTGTGTGATATCACTGTGACTCATCACTGCTGACCTTGCAGGGTTTTATTGTCGTTCCTTGGTTTTACACATGTTTTAAGTGGCCCTTACTCCCCACAAGATGCTGATCCCTTTAGCAGTTGCTTTGGGCCTCTTCTCAGGGTCTGCTGGGGTACATCGTTCTGTGGGCATTCCACAGGTTTCACAACACAGGAAAGAAAATTGGCCTTGTGTTGGTAATTGTTGGAACTGGGGTCATTATTCTAGTCTCTACTCTTCACATTTGATGCTGGCAATTGGAAAAGAAAAAAATTATTTTCAATCTACAGTGACAGTCAATCCTAAACTATCGACTGTGTAGCTCTGATGTTGATTGTTGTCAGAGCTGCTCAGGATGCTACTTGTCGTAAATGTATTTGGCTCTTCAAGGCCTTGGTACCTTGGTTTAACGATTTCCCGACCCTGCAGGTGCTCACCACTGCCTCAAGCTGCTTTATCTGTTCAGCTCTGCTTTCCCATGCACTTGTGGAGGGTCTGGTGTGGGGCCTGCTTCCCATCAGCACCTTCACATGGCCGTGTCTTGTCCTGTGGTGAAATACCATTGGGAAGATGATGGCAGAAGACTGTTGAATACAGTAGACTTCAGTGTTAAGTGGTAAAAGTAGAGAAAGACAGAAGTTTATAAAATGAGATACACCTTAAGTTTGTTTTCTATTTGTGATTGTCTGCCTATTTATTTTTATGTATTGGTATTTTTGAGACAGGGTCTCACTATAGTCGAGACTGACCTGGAACTCATTATGTAGCCTAGGCTGGTCTTGAACTCACAGCGATCCTTCTGCCTTAGCCTCCAGAGTACTAGGATTACAGGCATGCACCACCACGCCCGGCTCCCATTTCTTGACTTATGTGGATACTCAGTCTTTTCCCATATCTCCCTTTCCCACTAGTCCAAAATAGAGAAGGAGAAAGAAGATAAGATAGGGTTCTGAAATGCCTTGGGTCATGATTTTCTTTAGCACTAGTCCAAAATAGAGAAGGAGAAAGAAGATAAGATAGGGTTCTGAAATGCCTTGGGTCATGATTCCATTTATTTACAATATTTGTGTCCCTCCTGGTTTCACAAAGATTTAAGTTGGTTGTTTGGAGCTATAGAAAGAAAAAAAAAGGTGGCTGATCAAACGCTTACCTTCCCACCGCCAGAGCAAGAGCAATAAAATAGACATTTTGTTTTACTAAGGGCCCTGCAGTCTCCTGAGCTCTCCCCAGTGTCCGAGTGTGTTGGCAGAGGAACCAGGCATATACTCCACTGCTTGTGTGTGACAGTGGGCAAACCATTTCCCCCTGAAATGTAGTTTTCCTTCCAAAATATGGGTATGATACTTCTACCTAATGTGACTATAGAGACATTGTGTAAAGGTCCTAGCCGATGTGAAATGTCATAAGATGAGCACTCAGTACATAGTGCCTAATTTTGCCATCAGTTGGCAGGATTTCTAAACACCAGTTCATGGTGATTATTCATTGTCATGCAGCCCAAACATCTGCAGTACATTTGTTTTGTTATAAAGCTGAAGATATTCTGTTTAAGGCCTTTTATTCTGAGATTGTGGTACAGGTTAAGCATCACCCACCTGAAACTCCAAATACTAAAATGTTCCAAAATATGACATTTTTTGGAGCACCAATGTTATACCACAAACAGAAAATTGCATACTATGAAACTTTGTTTCTTGGACAAAATTGTTAAAAAGATTGCATACAATTACCTTCAAGCTGTGTGTAGAAGGTGCATAAGAAAGTAGATGAATTCTGTGTTTTGACTTTGGTCCTATCCCCAAGGTATATTATTATGTATTGCAGATATTCTAAATCTAAGAAATTCTAGAATCTGAAATACTTCTGGTCCCAAGCATTTCATATAAGGGATACTTATGTATACTTATTTTTTTTTGTGTTAAAGGGCCTTTTTTTTTTGTACCAGGGATTGAACTCGGGACGTTGTATTTGCGAGGCAGTCAGCAGCACCTCTGAGCTAAATCCCCAGCCCAAAGGGGCTCTTTTTTTTTTTTTTTTTTTTTTTTTTGGTACTGGGGATTGAACTCAGGACCTTGTGCTTGTGAGGCAGGCGGTAGCATCACTGAGCTAAGTCCCCAGCCTGTGCCTTTTTAAATTATTAAAATGGCTTTGAAGTAAAATAATGGGAGGAGATAGATTTTTTTTTTCATTTAAAAAATACCCTTAGTGGGTAAAATAAAGTTGGTGGCCTGTGTTTTTCTGGTCTTCATTAAGAGTCAGTGAAGTTGAGAGCTCCGGTCTGATGTCCTGTTCTCCTTTGGAGAAGGGGGAAGCCAGAGTCATAGGCAATTAAAATTAGTGACACAACCAACCTCTTACATGACTTACATGTGAGCTTGGGGCTCACCTTCCTGGGGAGCTGCCCACATCTCTTCCCCACTCCCTGTCCCAGCCCTGGCTTGGCTTCCTGTTTAAGTCTGTTACACAGCACCTGTCACTCTGTGGTCCTCGGGGCACTCATCTGTGAACTTTCTAGCCTCTAAGCCGCTTAGGGACAGGGATGATGAATTATTTGGTTTGTAATTTCCAAGATGGAGAGGGTATTGAATAAATGTTTGTCAGATAAAGGTTTGTTAGCTTTCCATCATAACAGATACCTGGGATGATCAAATTACAGAGAGCGAGAAAGATTATTTGGCTAACGGTTTTGGATATTTTGGTCCATGTTTGGTTGGTCTATTTGCTTGCAGGCCTGTGGTGAAGCAGAACATAATGGCAGGAGTGTGTTTGAAGCATAAGTGCTCACTTGATGGCCAGGATGCAAAGAGAAAGGGGAAGGGGCTGGAGTCCCACAGGCTCCTTTGAAGCTGTGTCCTCAGTGCCCTGAGGACAGTGTCTTAAAGTTTCTACCACCTCCCTGTAGAGGCACTGCTCTGGGGATTGAGGCATGGACCTTTGGGGGGACACTCAAGATCCAAACTACAGCAGAGTGCTGAATTAAAATACAAACAAATGAGGGGAAAATGCCAGTAAAACATCAATATAGCACGCCCCTAGTTTTTGTCCTGAAAAATACTATTAAACTCACTGTGACCTTGCTCAGCATTCTTTTTTGAACTTCAGACCATCTTTCTGGGATCATTTTCCACCTTTAGTGTGTTGCCCAAGGAAGGCTTGGGCTGTAGGCAGTGTGATGTTTTAGTCACTGAGATGGGCTAGAAATCCAGTGTTGCTTCTCCTGCTAGCATTTGGGGATTTACAAACTGGATGAGACAAAAAATTAGCATATTCCCTCTATCATGTTCATGATTTGAAAGTTTTCCTCAGTTGGGCTTTCTGTGTTAATAACTCTGTTCCTCTCCTCCTCTTCTTCCTCCTCCTGTTCCTCCTCCTCCGTCTCATCTGTCAACAACTACCAGAGAAGCAAATAAGCTTATATAAGAGATTTAACTTTTAAAAAAAATGTTGCCAAGGTTAGAGCTGGTACATACCTCAGCTTTGTCTCGGCATCTTCTTTGATGGAGAACATTTGGAGTTTGATTTGGCTTACTCCTTTTTGTGGATGAATGGTGGGAGAGTAAAAGTAAGATGACTTTATTTCCATCTTAGTTTATTAAAACTAGGAAAGGCTAACAAAAACAAGTAGGATTTGAAATTAGTTACTTAACTCTCCTCCAAAAAGAAAAAAATTGACCTATCACAGTGTTTTCACATGATTTTATTTATGAATGCAGGTTTCCAGAATTTAATTTTATCATCTGAAGACAAAGCAAAGCTCACACAATAATTAACGTGTTATATTTTACTCATTTACTTAAAGCAATTGAAGTCACCTCGCTGGCATTGTCTTTATGGAAGTGATAGAGAAGCTGAATTTAACTGGTTAGAAAGAGGACATTGGGTTAATCAGAATTGTTGGTGTAAAACACAGCGCCAGTTACTCTAAGACTCGTCTCAGTGCAGTACACTTAGGCTAACATGTCCCAGACAGTATGCAGTTTGTAGTCTGTGTCATTTACATCTTGCTGCAAAAGTGAGGCTGGGTGTCAGCAAGTTCTCTCACTGCAATTCTGCAGAGGTTTCTCTTTCCTTTCCTTTTTTTTTTCTTCTCTCCTGTCTTCCTTCTCCCCCTTTCTTTTTACTGAGATATTAATTTACATTCAACAGATGCATTCCTTAGGGGCCTTGACAGCTGAACACAGCTGTGAACTTCTGTCCCAGTCAAGACAGTACCCTATGGCACTAGGACCTCTGTGGCTGTATGTGTGTTCTTTTGCATCTGGCTTCTTTTGCTCAACAGTGTTTGTGATTCACCCGTCTCGGCCATTATAGCGCATTCCTTTATTTTATTTTAAAATTTGAGATAATATCTCACTAAATTGCCTAGACTAACCTTGAACCTGTGATCTTCCTGCCTCGGTCACCCGTTCCTTTTATTACTGAATTGTGTTGATGCCACATGGAGTTTTTTTATTTCTTTGTGTTTTTTGGTCTCTGTACAGGAGATCAAACCCAGAACCTTGCTTGTGCTAAATGCACCACTGAATTGTAGCCCCCTTTAAAAACATTTTTTTGCGTGACAGGTCTAAGTTACCCAAGCTGGTCTTGAACCTGTGATCCTCCTGCTTTAGCCATTTGTATAGCTGGGATTCCATGAGTGTACCACATCCTTGGCCATTGTTGGGTTTTGATGTCTTGTATAGATTTATGTGATAGGTCTAGGCACTGCAGGAATTTATGTACTGTCTTTTTGTAGTCCTCCGTCTCCCCCCACTGCTAGGCAGCACTGAGGAGGGCAAAGTGGACAAACAAATAAATCAGATTTTGAGAGAGTCTTCTTTTCATTAAGAACCTGAACCTTGAGTCCTTGGTAATTTGGCTTTTTATCTTTTCTTTTGATTTTTGGAGACAGGGCCTCACTATGTAGTTGAGACTAATCTGGAACTCACTGTGTATCCCAGGCTGGTCTCAAACTCACAGCGATCCTCCTGCCTCAGCCTCCCCAGTGCTGGGATTACAGGCATGAGCCACCATGCCCGGCTTGGTAATTTGGCTTTTTAGAACAACTTTATTTTTGTTAATCCTGATTATGGCAGTTAGTGCAGTCTTGGTGTTTGCCTTTCTAGACATAGGGATATCAGAATTCTTTAATGGTGTGAGGTATTGTAACCCTGCTCATGTGGACTACCTGGTTCTGCATTTTGGGCTTGCTAAGCTCAGAGACCCAGAGGTATAGAAACTGTGAGCCGCCCAGACTGGTATCCCTACTTCCCTACATCTGCTGCCACTGAGACATCCTGTTTTGTCCTTACCCTGTCCTGCCTCAGCTTGTGCTTTCCTCAGTGAGGGAGGACTGATTACTGAACTGCTGCCCAATACCATGTGTAACCCCTTTGTGAATCTCAGGGCTGGGCAATGAATGGGGAAAGACGGAACTTGCTAAGGGCTACAGAGTTTGTTTCTGAAATAATGAAAATGTCCTACAGTTGAGGTAGTGATTGTTGCATACATACATCTATGAATGTACTGAGTGTATTTAATTGTACATGTTAAATGGGTGAATTGTATGGTATGCAAACTATATCAAATTTTTTATTTTTTATTTTTAAATGGTAATATTAGAACAAGGATAGACCAGTAGAAGAATGGGGAAAATATTTTAGAAGGCTTGTTCTTTCCTCATATAACATGATCTCTTGCCAGATATGCACATTTTTGGCATGAGTATGATAGAAAGAGGCTTGGCTTTGAGTGTATCAGGTGGACCTGGTTTGAATCCTGTTCTCTTGTTAGCTGGGTGACCCCA